TTTTTTTTTTTTTTTTTTTTTTTTTTTTTGCTTCATCTAAAAACATCGCTCGCTATGAGAGCACTGGGCAATAGTTTAAATTCCCTCATATTGGTTGCTCATGTTTCCTCTGCTGTGGGGACTTCGGATGAGCGATCCATTTTCTTTGCTATTCGGTTTCAGACGGTCTTCTTTCGACTTGTTTTTCTGTAAGCTAAGTTGAACTTCAGTACGTTTCATATTTTTCTTAAAATTGGCCCAATTTTTGAGATGCGACATAGCATTGTTACGTCTCTTTCTTATCCTTTTCTTTCGCTATCCAAAGTTGAAGGGTAAGTTGCCCGTTATTGCAGAATAGCATGTGTAAAATTCGTTCAAATAATTTGTAATGCTTTAACATTTTATTATTTTGTTAATTAAAAATGAAATACTTGTCTGCTCCTTCCCCTCTTCTCCCCAAAAAAAAAAGCGAGAAAAGTGTCCTGAACAAATAAAGTTTTCTTGGCGGTACTGCATCGGGAAAATTTTGGATTAATAATTGCTGTTTTGTAAAAAGGAATTTGGTAAGCACCTTTTTTTTGTTCTGAAACATACATTTCTGTACTTTATTTTTAACCGGGCTATCACATATTTGTATTGCATGCTGTCAAGCAGGTTTTTCTTTTTTCTTTGTAAGTCAAATTTGCCATTTCCTATTATTTATGTACAGAAGGCAGCGAATGCACCCTGTGCAGCGCCGGGGCGCTTGTGGCCATAAATCGAGAAACTTTTGTCGTTTTCTCATCTATTTTTTCACCACTTCATTTGTTGTATGTAAATTATGAATAAAAATTTGCAGTGGATTTCAATTTTAACGTACATGCAGCGTGATTTCTGAGCACACCGGCAAACACACCATTTCAAAGAAAATTTGAATTTTTTTTTTTTTTTCGGAAGATGTGTACCATACGTAACAAGCCATTTTTTGGTGTATTCATGCTTCGTTCTAATATCACAGCATTTCAGCGCGCAAATTCCCAATGCAGCTAACACAAATTAAATTAAATTATTTCAAACAACTGAAAATTTCTGATTGAAGAAGTCCAGAATAACTGATAATAACACAAAAATGCTCAATATTTATGCAGTTGTATATTTTCGTAGAAAATTTAAATAGTAACAGGAACCTGGACTGTTATTATACCGTTTTGCACTTCGGTGATACGAATTCACAGTGTGTGACGCAGCAAAATATGAGGGTTCTGTTGTTTCTGCCCCTTCGTGATCATTTTGTTTGCCTGTCTATCGCATGAAACTGCGAAATTTAGTATTTGTATCTCCTATTTCTCTGCCCGCGCTTTAGAGTAAGGTCACTAGGTCAGCGTAAAAGGCAATTTCAGATTTGCTTTTGCATCATTCAGTTTTCATTACTTGTAACCGAGAGCTGGAAGGTCGGAGGTCTGTAACTTGCTTTATTTGGAAGCTGTAAAATCAATGTGGATTTGGATTTCATACCATATGCTTTCTTCTTCCATAAAGCATAAGCCTAAAATTTACAGTTCTTACTGACTGCATTCTGAAGCGCTGGCGCAGTTAGTCTAAATCCAGGCACTTAGAAACCCGCAGAAAGGAAGGGCCGATTCAACTGCGCAATAAATAGTACGTGAAATCCACGAAGGGACCACTTTTCAAATAGGCGAAATGTAAAAGCAACACTTACAGTAGCAGCTTCGAACCAAAGTTCGGAGCTGGCGCAGCGATGCCACACACTGCTGCACCAGACTTCGAGGACCTAAGATAAGTTTGCAGTAAGTTGCACAGAAGCATGTGCACATACACTGCATTCAATTTGCGTGGATTGCTTAACAAACGCTGTTTTAACATTTTCCTAAAAAGCACTGAGAAAGTCACCTCCAAAAAAAGGTAGAACTTTTGCGGTGCTTGAAATTTGCTTGGGTTTGTAGGGACCCATAAGCCTTGTATTGATTTCTGGGTGTGCATGCACTTCCAGGAAGCGCTAGCTGCGCGGGTCGCACAACACACATATATAAGCTGGCAGGAAGCTGCCGTCCCGTGCATTCTGGAATACGCCATGGCTGTGTACGGGACAGCTGATACCGATGCTGCAGACGCTAGTTCAGGTCAGTTTTTATTTAAAAATTGCATTTGTGTGTCTGTCCGTTTATCAGTTTTATGCAACTGGTAGAGTGGCTAGCCAGTACTGGTGGAGTGGGCGCTGGAGTGTCGCTTCTCCGTTCAGGAAGAATGTAATAAATACTTCTTGTTCTTTTTATATTGATTTTCGTTTATTGTTTAAACTGCATTGTTACAAATCTTTTTTTTTTTCAAAATTTAAGTAGCAGTTACTAAAAAAAGTTTTATTTTGAGCAGAAACTGCTCGAAGTGCCACCACTGTCTCTTTAACATTCAGTATCTTCTTACCGTCTTCAAAAGTTCACCGAGAATGCTCGACTGGTTGTCGGTACGAAATTCGCATAGCAGCTGTCCATCATAAGTCATATTGCGTGAAAAATTTGCATGAACACACAATGGTGTACGGAGGTGTACGGTGTAAGGTGTACGAAATTTTGCATTTCATAAAAATTTCTGCCAATTATGCGTTCGTGCTCAGCCTATCGATTATTCCTGGAAAGTGCGGTGGGGCAGGTTGCGCTCTCACTACGGAATGCTTGATAGATGTTTGAGAATACGTATTGTATCTGCTTATTTATATGAAAGTGACGAGTGCGGTGATTTCTCGAAAAGGGACAACATACCCCAGTTTTGTGCCCTCTGTCCAGAATGGGATCTACTGCTGAAGTTGCAGTTCTAAAGCTGTATAATCAGTAAAAACAAAATGTTCGAATTTATGGACTGGAAAGAAGCAGGCAGTAGCGAGCGATTGCTTGGGCTTGCAATTCTTATTCATTTATAAACTTCTGCGCGCCGGGCCTTGTCAAGGCTGCCTGTTTCGTATGCAGATCCTTTATGTGTATTTCTTTTTCCAGTTCGTTTGTTCCAGAATCTGAGGTGATGCTGTCGAGATTTCGCTTGCAAAGACGCCATGTGGTTACTATACTTGCATTTTTCGGTTTTGCCAATATTTATGCAATGAGGGCGAATCTCTCAGTTGCCATTGTACAGATGACTTCCGACACGATTGCCACTGTGAATGGCCAGCAACGCGAGGTAGGAATTTGCTAAAATTTAACTGCTACGAATACACCTAGTTTCAGAAGTTAGCGATCACTTGCACTAAGTAAGGGCCACGGCAGAGTCGAAGCTTAAATCTGCTTTGTCGACACAAGTACAGCTGAAAAGTTTTCCTGGTGCGCCCCTCTGCGGTTTTTGAGTCTTTTACACAAAAATGCTGACCCATCTCTGTTTAAGGAAGGTGAGTGATTGGTTAATGTGGAGAAGTTTTCGAAGATACTGTAACAATTGCACTGATTAACCATACATTGTTTTGTGTAGTGATCACATTAAGCTGATTGGTAATATTGTAAGGAATCTCAAAAGGCAAAGGCAAGGAAGGTGCTCAAATCTGTCTTAATTCATTCTGTATTATCAGTGAAGCGACCAAAAAAAAGGATTAGTCGCAGGACTGATGCGATGACACCAATTCTTGCTTTCCTGTCCTTGTATTAATCCACCTTTAAGTAATTCAATTTTCCTAAAATACACAGTGTGCTTAAATTGTGGTTGCCAGCAGAGTTGTTATGTTGGATATTCAAAACACCTTTTGCTCCCTTCTCAAGCAATTCTCATGAAAGGGAAAACCACTGAAAGCCTAAGCAGGAGAAGATTCCTACTGATGTCTTTGTAATCATCCGGAGCAAATACAAGTGTTTCTGCCTCTCGAAAGAGTTAATTTTCCTGTTGATATGGACGATAATATTGTAAAAGAATGGACTTTTTAAATGCAGCGGTATTCCAGTGCATCCATCTCAATGTCGCTAAATTGTTCGAAAAAAATTGCTTAAGAAGCATAGACAAATCTCGTTCGGTCAGCGATTTTTACTACAATCCAGAAAATTATCTTTTAATTTTTCTGACGGTCAAAAATCTGCCGTTTCCCATTAATGCAAGAGACATTTGTGAGGAGGAAGTGAGGGAAAATGGAGAAAGGGGAGGGAATGAGAGACTCGTCTAGTTGGTATGCTTTTATTTCCTTTTCTATTCTTGTACGATATTTCGAATTGTTTTGTTTGTATGTTTTTTTTTATTGCTTCGGATTTTGTTTTGTTTGGATAGGTTTATTAACTTTTGGTTAATTTATGAATGATTTTTAGAAGAAGGCTGAATTTGGTGAGTGGGATTCGGTGACACAGGGCGCCATTCTGGGAGCATTCTTTTACGGCTACATCTTAACGCAACTTCCCGGCGGCTGTCTGGCGCACCGTTATGGAGGAAAATATGTTTATTTTATGAGTATTTTTGGTAAGTGTTTTGCCCCTTTAGACTATGCATATGTGCATGAAGAAAGAAGCGCGTTAGTTTACGACTTGTGAAAAAGTTGAAAAACTTCTGTTGCGACTTCTGTCACAACAGATGTTTGAAAAACTTCTGTCACAAAAATGCTAACATTGTTACTTCAGGCTTCTCAACGAAGAGTTATCCGTATACGGTCTTTATTAAATTCTTGGATGCGCACATGGAATCAGTTCCTTGATTATGTACTAGGCATTCAGAGGTTCTTGTTAGCAATACATTAGTTCGTTGTGTCAAATAGTTTTCTATGCATTCCAGGAACTGCTGTATTCACACTTTTATCGCCTCCGTTGGCCAAGATGGGAAAAAGTTTGCTTATGGCTGCAAGATTTTTTGAAGGATTTTTTGAGGTAAGCATTAGCTGAAAGTTATCAGGGATTCTTCTCGCTATTCGACGCTTGTGCTGCCATTCAATTTCTTTTGTTACAACATTCTTGAGTTTTTGTTGCAGCTTTTTGAGAAAATATTTTGATGAATATTTGTTGAGCAGCTTTTTTAGGGTGTCTCGTATCCGTCTATGCATGCAATTTTGGCAAATTGGGCACCAGTAATGGAGAAAACCCGAATGACTGCTATTGCTTATACTGGTTCTTACGTTGGTACTGTCGTTGCTATGCCCGTATCGGCAGTACTTGGGCAGCAGTTAGGATGGCCATCCATATTTTACTTTTTTGGTATGGCTTTGAAGGGAGATTTCTTGGATATTAATTTCTTTTAGAACTGTGTCTTGTTCGACTTTTGTTGTCTTCTGAACTATGCATTGGGGTGGGGAATTTGGCTGAATGAAGAGTAAGCTGAAGAAGATTTGAAAAAAAAACTTTAAAAAAGAAGGTTTTCCATTTCATTGCTGTGAAATAAAAACAACTTATTGTGATTTCCATTTTATGCCCAGTACATTTCGTTTCCGTCCTTTTCAATTGATTTCGTTTGCAGGAATAGCTGCTTTGTTTTGGTGTTTCTTCTGGTTAAAAATGTTCCATGAGTTGCCGGAAAATGATCCAAATATAAGCACTAATGAATTGACATTATTAAAGCGAGGAACCAAGCAAGTGACGAATATGGCAAGCTCCTTTTTTTCAGCATCCCAATTTTATTAAATTTTTTAATAAATTGAGCTTTCAGTTCTGCTAATCTCCATTCTGCAGCCGCCATGATGAACTTTCCCACGCAGTCAAATGTTGATGTTCAGAAATGTCGTTTTTTTTTTCATAAGTCAGTGAATTTTAGACTGTTCCATGGAAACACATTTTTGGAAGTAAGGCCGTATGGGCCATTGTGGTCGCTCACATATGCCAGAACTGGGGTTTTTATACGATGCTGACAAGTTTGCCACGCATACTAGAAAATTTGCTTAGTTACGATCATCAAACGGTATCTCCTTTTTTGGTAACAGATCATCATCCCGAGTGTTTGAATTGATTTTTATTTCGTCGTTTATAATTGTATTTTTGGTGGACGACTTTTTTTCAGTGTAGTGTTTTATTTTTTCAAAAATAAAGGAAAAGCTAGAAATTTTAACCAATATCCTTTTTCTTGGAATCCGAAACAGTGTAATTTAAATTACTGAAAAACAGGCTGGTTCGCTGGCTGCTTTGCCATATCTTGCAATGGGCATTATACTTTTGGCTGCTGGCGGTATTGCGGATTATCTCAGAGAGCAGCGCATGTGGTCCACCATAAAAACGCGAAAAATTTTTTGTTGTTCCGGTTAGTGTAAGGACTTTTGTTTCATCGCATAATTTGTCCCCCTTGGTATTTGAGAAATCGCCTCAAAATTTACAGATTTGTTTTCTTAGGATTGCTAGGAGAAGCCGTATTTCTGTTACTGGCAACAACCGGAGTTTGGGATTCTGTGATTCTCATATCATTAATAGCTTCTGTTGGTCTGGGTGGTCTTGCATGGAGTGCATTCTCCGTTAACTCGCTTGATATCGCTCCACAGGTATTCGCTTTTTTTTTGTTACACTCGTATGAGAATAGGTTTTGTTACACTCGTATGAGAACAAACATTGGCGTTGAGGACCAAATAGGGTAAGACAAAGAGTTTTTTTATGATGAATAAAATTTGAAAGAAAAAAGACATCGCTTCTTTTGCAGTTTTGGATAGTTCGCTTTGCTGTTTGGGTTAGCCGCAGTTGCACGAGTTCCCTTTTTTTGAATCCAATAAGGAGGAGTGTTTTCCTTGCACCATTTTCTCATTTTGACTTTTCCCTGCCCTGAGAGTTTCTTATTTTTAGTAAGCTCTTTCTCTAGTGCTTCTCCAACTTTAACAGGATCTTCTTAATTAGTAGAACAATGATCTGGAGCTGGGAGTAATGAATCCATTATTTGGAGCTTATATTTACATATGAGCAGTTTCAGTATGCTGGCTATCTCATGGGACTTTCAAACACATTAGCAACACTACCGGGAATGATTAGTCCGTTATTTGTTGGCAGCATTGTCAAAAACCAAGTTTGTGTTCTTGATAAATTGAATTAATTTACCTACTGTGTTTTACACTTGAAGAATTTTTTGATCGACCATCTTGTACATATTTTTCGAAAGTTGGCAGCTCAGAAAAACCATCAGAAATTTTGGTTTTCTCTGGTGAAGGAAATTCGTCCCAAACGTTTTATCGCATTGCGGAAGGGGTGACATCAGTTTTAATGCCTTTAATGCAAGTCAGAAAGCAGTGCTCTCATTCTCATGTGTTCTGATTGGCATTCGGTAGCGAACTGACGGTATACTGCTAGAAATCCCAAGTTGCAACTGAGGCGTCTGGAACTGGAGGAAACTGGAAAAGAAACAAACTTATGTTGCCATTACTATAAGTATTAAAATAGGATCCTACGTCTTCACTGTTGGATAGCACACGTTGGCGAGTTGTACTGCTGAGGATTGTTGAGGAACGAAGCCATCGTTCTGAGAGCTGCTCAGTGGTAGTGTACCTATTGGGGATATGGAGTATCCGCTGGAGGGGAAACAGCTCCGCGCAAAAAGACCTAGAAAAGAAGTGTTTAGCATATGACTGTTTCTGAGTGGTATATTGTTGAAGTACGGAGACCCTGACAACGCCTGCTGAGCGACTTTGATCGAGTTTTGGCATTTTTCAATAAAAAGGAGTTGGGGCAATGTTTTTGGTGCATTAACATCAAAATTTATTTGGATATGAATCAGGCATGTAAATTTCAGGTCGCCAGTGAATGGCACTCGGTCTTTTTCTTCACATCAGGAATTTACATCTTTGGTGCATTTATGTTTTGGCTGTGGGCAAGAGGTGAAGTAGAGGAATGGGCATCAAATCGAATTGCACTTTCGGGGGCTGATGACTAGGATTTATGTTCAAAGCTGCGGTTTTCCAGTTTGGAAATAATAGCCATATTTTTGACAGTTTTGAGTTTTTCAAGTTTCATTGTATTTTTTTTTTCCACTTTCCTCCGTTTTGTGAATGTTCAGCGAACTGGCTAACAGTTCATTATGACGAAACTTGCTCTTTTCCAGATCTCAGAGGTCCATCCCGTTATTTTCAATTCTTGCATTTGTATAGGAATTTATTTTCTTCTTACTACCGTTGAAAATTGAGCTGTAGAGTTGCGTTGTGAAGCAAAAATTCATGAAAGAAGTTTAATTCATTTCCACTGCTTGTGTAAGCTGGGTTTTTGTGAAAGTTAACGGGACTATGATTTTTGGAATAGAATCAGGTCGAAATGCTTTGGCCGGTTGAATCGAAATAGTTCGATGTACACAGATGTGCATATGAAAACCAGCCTCTTAAACTAAATACACTTTTCCATTACAGGAACAGTAACTAAGCCAATTCTCCTCTCATTACTTGCCACTTCTGAAATACATATCCGTTGTTCTTAAGATTTCAAATTTTTTTGTCCAAAAATATTTTTTGATTGTGTTTTTGATTGTAGTAAATCTCAAAATCTTCCGGTGACTCTGTGTTTAACCAATTTATCAGTTTTTCATTGGGTAATTTATGATGTTGTCCAAAATTCCTTCTAACTGGTATTTCACTGCTCTGCCATGCTGCTTTGGACATCTACTAAAACGCAGGTTGGGAGGCGAGTTGTAATGACTGCGCGGTGAGGAATAGAGAAGTAAAGGCGAGGAAAAAGGGGATGGGAGTACTGGTTTAGGTCTCGGAGTTTATAGCGGAGGAAGGAGACAGGGTTATTGATTGAAAAAAAAAAAGTTGAAACTTTGCTTGGTGGTAGGAATTGGAAACAGGGGTGAGGGTTGTTTCGGAGGAGACTGTTGAGCATGAAACTTGATGCTGAGGAGAAGTTAGTAATTTAGGCACTGGAACTGCACCTAGACAAAAAATCTGGTACCATGATTTTCGCAGCTTAAACTCTGTTTCAAAAACTCATGAAAGCAAGTGCATATTGCGCGATTAAACCGGGCCGAGTTTTAGTAGTTGTTTTGTATTTTTATGTCTCTTGCCGGTCCTTATATTTTTCCAGTGCATTTCTCTAAATCTTAACACTTCCTTTATATGGTAATTCAGTGACTCTTATTTTTATGCATGCATAGGATAAAGAAAAGTGTGTGCATATGGCCATCTAAACACGCTGTAAGCTTTGTACAGATGTGATGGAGCATCCGGTAATCCACAGATGATGAAAACAGAAACCTGACAGAGAATCTCGAATAGCGAGCTTCACAGAATCTTCATTTTTAGCTTCTTTATTCAGTCTGTAGTGCTTGAAAAAAGAAATCAGTGTTCTGTTATGCTGAAACATCGGCATACATCACGAGGTCCCGTGAACGGATGGTTTTGCTGAACGTTATTATGCGTTTTTTGCAGCTATGCAATGCAAAAAACGCATATTGACGAGGGGTTCTCTCTGTGTGTGTGTGTGTGTGTGT